AAAAAGCTTCTCATGGGTTTATACTTCACAAATAAATACAAGTCTTGCAAGCAATTTATCTCTTTCTTGTAGCTCTTCATGGTTTAGTGCAGCTGCTATGTGTATTCCAATTAATTACCGGCACAAGTGATTACATGGGGTTGAGGCACAATTAGGCTCAGCCTGTAATTGTGTTTAGAAGGGCCTCGGCTGCTTTCACAGCTGGTTTGCCCGCTGAATGAGACTAGCCAGTCTCTCCAGCTGTAGCCGTGTTATTTCTCTTTAATTGTTCGTGCAGTGACTTAAATCTTTCATTGGGGGGCGTTCTTGCTTTCTGCCTGTAAGACAGAGTGCTGCCTTCCTGCTGTCTTTCTCTGAGCAGCAATACAGGGAGGGAAGAGTCAAACACAGCTGTCAAGATCAAAGAAGCCAGGTGCTCTCTTTATAACCTGCCCTAATTACAAAGTGGCAAATAAGACCTCATTCTTGGTGTCTTCATCATATTGGTTGCTACCTAATAGGAGCTGCTGGCAATGTTTATGCCCAGAGGCATCCCGCTTGTGTGCCTGCAGCAGTATATTAGTTTCTAAAGGGAAAACCAGCCATTTAAACCTGCTACAGCTAGAGAGGCAGTAAGTAGCGAGACCTAACTTTGTGCTAGCCATCTATTGCCAGAACTGATTTAAAAAAAAAAAAAAAAAGCCAACCTTAAAACATTTAAATTTGTTGGAGAGGAGGTGATTCTGTGCCCTTTCAGCATGCCAGTGTCATTCTTGGCTCCTTCTTTACAAAACAGTCATACATTCAAAGCATGGTGCAATTCTCGGGAACCAGCCCGGGCCTTGGGTATGTGCCTATTTTGGCCAGGTTTTCCTATCCCACAGGTTTATGAAGCATGGAGGGAGAGTAAAACCACAGCAACTCAGTAATGGGAAAAGGCTGGATTCAATAGGAGCTCCCCTGAGCTCGTCCTCCCGGACCTCATTTACCCTCCTGAGCCCTATTTGCGGCTCTCCCCTAAAAGCAGCACGGGGCCAGTATGGTGCCCTGCAGCTCCCTGCCCTTGGGCTGCCGTGGTCAGCCTGGCCATGTGCCCCTGGCACGGCAGAGCCAGGGAGGTGGAGGTGTGATACCCATACCACGTGCAGGGATTTGGGATTCCTGGGCTATAAGGACTCTCTGGGAGCTTGCAGCCTGGTGGGGTAATTGCTGGCCATGCTCAGCTGCTGCTCCTGAAGCTTGTCAGCACATTTTTGGCTGTTGAGACCCCACATGCAGACAGCTGCAGGGGTTGGGCAGCCTCAGGAGGCAGTAACAGAGGTGCTAAGGACAGCTTCAGGGGTCGACCCTGGCTGCAGTGGGGCAGAGGTGTGTTTGCTGCGTTGGGGTGGGGATCTTTGCCTGCCCTGCCCTATGGCTGTGCTCGCTTTGCTGATGGGGTGAGCCTCCGTTGGGAGCATTTGCCCTAGAGGAGAGCTGGGAGGGGGCTGGCTGGTTGCTGCTCCTGGGGGTGCAAAGTGGCTTTCTGGTTGGCGGCTTAAAGTGAGATTTGGTGCCTGCTTAGGGAGGTGTGTGCGTGTGTCTCTTCAGCTGAGTTCTGTAGAGCAAGAGTCTTACAAAGATTTGAGGTGCAAGACTTCATAAAATAGTCCAAAATCCTAAAGGGAGGGCTTTGACCCCTCTTGCCATGCAGCAGGGGCTCGCCTTGTTCACAGCCTGCTGCCTGGGCTGCACTAAGTGTGGGGGCTGGTCTGTTGTTTGCTATTTTTTGAGGTGCCTGGCTGGGACATGCATGAGCGATGCAGATACCCTGCATGGAGCATCACTGTCCTGAGCGGGGAGCTGGGAGGAAGACAGTCTCTGTGCTCACATCCCAGAGGGTGAGTATCCTGGTGAAGCTGCGTTTCTGTATTGTTTAATGATTAAATAAGATAAAAGACTTTATGTACTAATATACATCATTCTTGTGGAGCTTTGTTATCTTGTGGTCTGTGATAATATGCATGTGTGTACTTCTAAGACATATATTCTTCTCATATATGAATATAGCAGTGACTACAATATTAGGTGACACTTCTGCATACACAGCCCCGAGAACCCCACCCTGATGTTATACAAAGCTGATGCTGCTATAGAATGTCCATTGTAAAGCCCTACACTAACTATGCTTTTGTTTGGTTAATAGATTGCTAATGACAAATTGTCCAGGAACAGGTGATGTATTATTGTCTTGACTACTAAACCATGAAGAGTTACTAAGGATCTGCCAAGAAGGAAAGTAGGGGAAAGGTAATTTCGGCAGGGGGAGACTGCGACTGCGGACTCAATTAAAAACTACAGAGACTACCCCCCCACACTCTCCTTGAGCATGTGTAGTAAGTTAAAATCATACTGTACCTTCAAATTTAAGCGAAGAAGAAAAGAACCAGTAACAGACAAGTATGCTTAGCTAATTTAATGATTATGTAGTAGGTAGTGTGGTGTGTTAATTGTAATGTATAAAAGTTAGAGAAAGCTTTGGTAGGTGTGCTAGCTTTGTGGAATTACCACCTAGCAGCTAAACTTGTGCAACTTTGAGAATAAAACAATATCTCATCTCAGTGTGCGAAGACTGGCACACCGGGTAAACAAGCCCTTTTTGGGACAACACTGACAGCTGGCACAGGGGAAGACCCAGGACCAAAACCAGAGCCAGGCTTTGAAACGGGGACCTCCAGGCTGGGTCTCTGCTGCAGGGCTTGCTTTGTTTTGGCTGTCTCTTGGGAACTAGTCTTTAAATTAGTATTTCCTCCTAGTGTTTATCCCAAATGCCTCTTAGCACTTTGGTTGTTTCAATTTTCCCTGCCTTCAGAAAATCCATCTGAAAATATTTGAAAAAAATACTGCAAAAGCTCTGACTTGCTCCTTTCAATTTAAGCCTCTTATGCCATTTGATCCAGCAACTGCTGCATTTTTAAATCTTCTTTTGTTTATGGATTAGTTTTTTGTGTTTGTGATTTTTGTTTTTTTCCTTTTCCCTGTTCCCTTCCCATTAATTCACACAATAGGAGCAGGGTTTTTCCCAGCTCTCTGAATTCAGCATGATCAGATTGAGCATCAGTTTGGCCCTTGCTAAACCTAGTATGCTTGAAGCCTCCTGAAACAGCGGAGCCCCTCTCTGGCTGACCAGTCAGTGTGGATCCAGGCACAGTGCTTTTGGGGAAATGGCCTGGAAACCAAAGCTCATCGTGGCCAAAAAAGGGGCGATACAGCGTGAGGTGGTGAGATGCTGAAGCCTGGATGAAAGCTAGAGAGTGGGGAGTTTCTTGGGAAAGCAAAAGGAGGGTGGCTCTGTGTGTGCCCGCCCAGGGTGCCCCCAGCTTGCTGGCAAAAAAGGTGCATTTTTTTCATGGGATGCCTCGTGAAGCTGGAAGAACGTCCCTTTCTTCAAACCCTTCCCAATGACACATATAAAAATGCAGGTGAATTCTCATTCAGATAGTTTTTTATTGTTGTTATTATTGGTACTGTGGTAATGCACTGGAGTGTAGAAAATGCTGCTGCTGTTGGAGGTAATTTCAGTTGAAGCTCTTAACGCGGTTTTGTGCTTGTAATAATGCATTAGCTCTGATCTGTGTTAGCTTGTTCTGAAGCTTAACGGGAGTCGTCTTTGAACATATCTGCAAAGCCATCAGATCCTTTTTCAGCTAGAAGTCAAGCAAGCTCCTTGGAGAGCAGTTTGATGGGATTGCTACTAATCTCAGTCTTAATACTCTTCCCCCATTAAGGTAACCTTGCCGTGAGCTGGGGCAGGTCCTGAGGGTGTTCATCCCAGGAGCCCACTCAACGTGGGAGGTTGCACCACCACCCGAAGCTCTGCCCCGCTGGTGAGCAAACCATTGCTTATGGCACACTTATGGTGTGGAAAAGTAGAAACACGGTTGCAAGATCTCAACTTCTGATTGCATTTGGGAGCTACTCCCAGGGGAGATGGGACGGGATCCTGCCAGCTTGCAGATGGAAACCATAAGGTGCTGCTCATGTGCCCCATGCTGGTGGCCTCGGGGCTGAACAAGTACTCGTGCCATCAGCTCCAGCGCCAGGTGAGTGATTTGGAAAGGGACACCTCCACCGTGAGGTCCCCTCTGCCCAGGAGCCTTGAGGGATGTTCTGCTCCCCAGTCAGTCACAGTGTTTGCAGGGTAGCTGCTGGCATTTCCGAGCATCACAACTGTGTGGTCAACACATCTGTGACCACCTCAGGACCCCCAGAGCCATGCAGTCGACAGGCTGCTTTGTTGTGTAGCCTCACCTGCATTCATAAGGCTTTTCAGATAAATCAAAAGAGAAGATCCCTGCCCTAAAGGAGCATGCTGTCTACATTAGAGAAAACAATAAGGGATAAACATAAAAAGAAAGTCAAAGGATTAAAATCAATGAAAGTTAATAATCTGAATATATTCAAAGATCTGGGCTAAAGAAGGGAGACAACAAACCATGGGTGGAAGTCAAAGGCCCTAATGAGACAGGGAGTTACGATGGAAAATACAGAGCCATCTATGCCAGCTGAAAACAAGAGCAGAGATGGCTTTTGTGAATAGTCTTCTCTCTCTTCTACTCAAATTTTAAAATGCTGGCTAAAACATTTACCGTTGATTTAAATTAATTTAGGTAGTTAAAAAGGGAAAAATTAGAATGTGATATTTAAATGTAACCAATTTTTCTCTTATCGGTTTTAAATGTAAAAAATGTTTAGCCCATCTTGAGAGTTACTGTTTCATGATGTGGCAGGAGTGGTGTTTGACTCTGAGCCCAGGTTTCCACAAGGACAGCAAGAGCAGAGGTAGGAATGAACTCTTGGTCCCATGGAAGTCACTCATGTATAACCTCACTGATTTTTCAGGTAATAGGGTCCACCCTTGGCAATCATTGCCTCTGCAAAAGGCAATTTTCTGGTAAATACAGTATAGCTATAGCGCCAGTGCCCCAGAATGCCATCCAGGGTTAAGCCACCTCATCCTCTCCCATGCAGCACCCCTTGCTTTAATGGACATCCAGGTCTGGGTACAGGAGGAAGCCCATGAAAGTGGAATCGTTGATGTTGTCAGCATAGATGCCGTTGTTGTCCCCCTCCCCGTACACCTGAAGCCAGACCTCATCCCCAGTGCTGAGGTGCAGCAAGACAGAGCCGCTCGCTTGGTCAACGTTGTTGTTCTGGAACTGGTCGTAGGTGAAGATCACTGCCTTATCCTTCTTGTAGAGGCTGACCTTGACATCCACCAGGTAGACTGTCAGGTGGTAGGCGAAGTAGTACGTGCCAGGGACGCTGCAGAGGAACTTGCCGGTGCTGGCGTCATAGTGGCTCTGCTCGTTGTAGAAGATCTTGCTGAAGCGGATGGGGACGTTGGGGTGGGGGGCTCGCTCTGTCAGCCCCACGCTGAAGGCAGAGCGGTAGACAAAGGTGCCTTCGCCCTTCTCCCCCTTCTGCCCTGGGTGTCCGGGAAATCCTCTCGGCCCTTCCTGCCCTCGGACTCCTATTTCGCCTTTGTCACCTTTGGGGCCTTGCACACCTGGGGGACAGAGTGGGGATGGGGAGTTGTTTGCGCTGTGCTGGCAGCTGCTACACACCGGCCCGAAATGCAGAGGGGGCTGTGGCTTGATGATCTGCTTGGCAGCATGGAGCAAGAGGTGTCCCCTGAGGAAAGGCAGGATGACCTCAACACCCCCCATAAGCCTTGTTTAATATCTTTATCAACGATCTGGATGAGGGGA